CGGAAATTATTTCTTGCTTACGCATTTTCCACGCAAACAGTTAACTAAAGAATTACATTCCTATGTGTACACGAGGCATTCCTAATTAAAAATATAGATTTATGACTAAATAATTACTGTCCAAAATAGTGTCTTTTGACTCTGTCACATATTCAAAGTAATTCCATACCAAATTGAGGCTAACCCTGTACAGAGTATTGGAAAATGGAGTATTGATGAGCAGTACAGTACATCAGAATAGTATTTTCCTGGTATTCAAATTATGCATAATGATTCAATTAATGATTAGACCCACAGCCTAACAGGCCATGAGTGAATAGCCCATGTAGTACAGAAAACAATGGAATATTTCACTCACTGCACATGGTTTGGGAGCATTGCACTGGCAACACATTTTTAGAGATCTACGGCACTTTTCAAAATATTCTGAAAGTTGTATGCCAAAATTTTGTAACATGATAATTTCAATCTTAACTTCAGAAGACCACCAATGTTTTACCAAAAATCACATTTCTAGGTATCAGATACCCCAAAATTATTACAGGAACAAGAATAAATATATGGAAAACATAATCCCGACAAATGGAAAACATAATCCCGACAAATATGCTAATCAGATATAATCAGATTTGTTAATTATTATTATATGAATTTTTTTTCTAAAAAATATAAAGGATATTGTTATTAAAAACAAGAAGGTTGAATAGTTAAAGTTAACGAAAATGTTACTTCAATTTTCATAAATATGCAAACTCTGTGTCTCTGAGTTGCACGCTGAAATTTGGTTTTTCGCTGCCGTCAGTCAAAAATAAGAAAGGTAAGGACTGATTAGGTTTGATTGACGGCAGCGAAAAACCAAATTTCAGCGTTCAGATCGCACACAGAGTTAGCATGTTTATGAAAATAATTGCAGTAATTCTTTAAATTTTGATTCTGTAGTTAGGTCAAAGGAAAACCAGCTACATTAGATGTCATGCATGTTGGATCTATCCATCTGCTATGTCTTGAAACCCTTGACAATGTGCACTAAAGGTTATGTCCACACTAATGCATTTTCGAAACACTCCATTTTTGTTTCACCAAAAACGCATCGAAAGCTTCAGATCTAGCCTGCAGAGCAGGCGTTCTTTCGATGGGTTTGAGGAAGAATCAGGTTTTGGGGTTCCTGTTTCAACTACGTGCCCACAAGAAAAATGGGACCTAGCAAAAAAAGGGAATGTGGGGGGAGGGGCCCTTCACTTCTCTTTTGCTCGGTTTCAATAATTCTCGCTTGTGCCAATTTCCAAAGTTCCCCAAAAACCCCGGTTTTTCCCCAAACCTACAAGAACACCTGCTTTGCAGGCTACTTCCCATCTGCACTAGCGTTTTTATGGCATCCACATAAAAATGATCAAAAACCAAAAAAGTGCAGAATTGAATCACATCAGTTTTCAAAAGCCTATACAGTTCAAAGCTCTGGAGAGTGTTCTCTAACAAATTTATACCCTTTCAATCATTTTAGTGTGGATGCAGAAGCCAAAACGCATTAGTAATTTGTTTGGACGACGCCCAAGCCTTTTATCTAATGAATTCAATATGATCAGAAATGGTGCTCTTAAGTAAACTTTTCTCATTGTAATCAAATTTTATTCAATTCGAATTCATTATTAGTCTCCTTTGCAGTCGTTCTTAGTATCAGTTACTTTGGAAGGAGTTTAGGACCGACGCTAAGGAAGACTGCAAAAGAGACCAGTTCATTATAAGAACAAGCCTTATCTGAATAGTTGGCAACAAAATCAATTTGTGACATTTTCATGGCTGAGGAGGGTTTTCATTCTTCACACACACGTGACAGCTAAGCGTAACCAAGGAATGTCAGTTGCTAACCAAGAGCCAAATATTTTCCCATCTGGCCCAACCTAACTCAGTCTCACTTCCTTAATCCCAGAAAATAACTACCTTTTCTCTTTCAGTGTTGAAGTTATTTATTACAAATAAGTTTTTACATTTCATAAAACAAACTCAATGCTAAAAAAAATAATCCGTTGGTCAGATTTCATCCCTTAAAACTGAGCAACACTTTGAGCCTTTTTAAGCATAGTTAATGAGCGACATAATATTATGATGTTTGCAACAACTTTGTTTGAATGCATATATATATATAATATTCGGTTTTGAAATTTTTTTAAAACAACAAGGAATTCCATAAACCTTTTTTTCCAATCAATCAGAAATATTTGGGGTTTTTTTTGGCAGAGTACCTTTCTTATTCAAACTGATAACAAAAGACATATCAATAACAAATTTGTTTTTCAAATTACAAAAAAAAAAACTGACAAAAGAAAATTCAAATAACTTGATGCAATTAGACAACAAATATGAGGACTTTTTACTTGTTCATGTTTTAAAATTACCGTGCTACATTTGCAAACACAAAGATTTTACTTCAAAAACTCAAAGTTATAAGACCACTTCATTTTTGTATATAGGAATTTTAAATTGATCCGAAAAAGATATCCAGCGATGGATTTCTTTTCTTCTCGCCGACCAACATTCCTTTGATGCCAGTCACTGTTTATTAAATATTGTTTATTGTTTGATTAAATTTATCACCGGCATTCACTGATCCCATTAATATTGCCATCGATGATTCCATTGGTGTTGCCATTAGTGATTCCATTAGCGATTCCTTTGGTGTGGCCATTTGCTAGCCCATTCATGTGAACATGTGACATGGCTTTCTTGGATAGGACGGCATCTTTTTTTGAGACGTGTTTGCGTTTTAAACCAATGTCGAGTTCTGTGTTTCTGTGTCTGACAGCAGTAATGCTGTGTTTGTGTTCTAGCAACATGTGGTTTTGAGGTTTCAGACCAATGCAAGCTCTGAAAGAATGATTAGATGAATTAAAATTGCATTGTGCGTGTACCCAAGGGGAAGGGGGTGGTTATTATTAACACTCTAAAGTGTTTTCCAATTTACTTTCAAAATGGAACGAGAGGAACTCTAGCACCATGAGAACAAATCCTTACCCATCTGTCTTACTACTATCCACTTTTGGCACCACTAGATATTAATGAAGAAATAGAAATTGTGCTGTGTACAATTTACATTTTTAAAGCACACAGGAACTGGCAGAATATGGGGACAGGCAAAAAATTTTGTTTTTAGTATGCGAATGACAGATTGGAAGGTGCGCACATGCTGCATGCCCCCCAAAGCACATCCTTCAGCCAATCAGAATGTGATATCAGTTTTTTAATAATTTGCTATCAATACAATGGGGCCTGTTATACGGATCTACGTTGATCTAATCTCAGGGAAGGCCATCTCATCACAAAACAAAAAGATTCTCCGGTTCTCTAAGTAGAGTTGTTTGTTGGTTTTCTCTGGTGCTTCGAGAGTTTTTCCACCGGGTTCTCCGGTTTTTCCTCCCTCCACAAAAATCAACTTCTAAATTCTAATTCGATTTACCGGCTGCTTTAGGTTGCACAGCCTGTTAGGCATTAAGCTGTCCACCCAGGAGTGGTAAACGCATTAGATTCTAGAGTCAAGTTTCAACCTACCTGAAGATATTTTCAATGCAGCTTCGCTGTTTGAAGAGAGCATTTACCACAGGAGTATCCCTGGGTACAAGTGGAGCCTTGAGCAAGTAACTTAATATTGAGAGGATAGTGTTGAAAGACTGCAATTCTTCTTCACCGTCAACCTTAAACTTGATTCTCTCACAGATTTCACAGAGAATGACAAGGTCTAATATGATTGGAGCGGCAAGGAGAGAGTCCTAAACAAATCATAAATTTTATGACAAAATTATTATTTACAATTGAGTTTGCTTTAGGCAATCTTATGATTCATTCTATACCCTTTAGATGGGCCTAACAACCCCTACTTCCCCTCGGGACCCCAATCCCACCCCTCTTGGAGGACATCTTTCAGGGCCTGGAGGAGGGAGCTGACCAAACAGACTGTGGAGATAAACTTCTATCTTTTTGAATTTTGTCCTTGTGAGGTGGGTGAAGGGGCACTAAGGTCTCTATCTGTAATCCTTATCCTTGGCAATTCTTGGCATTGCATGCAGACACCACAATATTACGTACATTTGCTATCAAGGACAAAAAGTGACAGTCCAAAGTGTTGCATGCTGTATCATTCAGTACCAGATAATGAATTTTTTCCTACCTCACATGTGTTGTGCATAACAATGGTATTCAAACCATGCATGAAGATCTCAGAGGTATATTCATCCATTGCTCTCTTGCTGTCTCCAACATACGGAACATATTTGATGACAACACAGTGATCAGGTTTTTCACCTTCACCATATAAAATTCTATTAGATTCGACCATGTCATCCACAACATTGCTTTTTGATATTTCCTTGGATCGAAACTGCTTTGGCGCAGAAAGGTTCCTGCCATCATTGTTACCAAGGTGATTGTAGCTAACAATAGACACAGGCTGAAAAAAAAGGGAATTTTTAAATTGTTTAATATATATTAATTTAATCACATATTCATTTATTTGCAATGCAATAATAATAATGAATAGGTGCTTTAGAAGTTCAATATAACAAGGAGAAAATAAAAATAAAATAAAGTTATCTATTAATATTTATTTGTGGGCCCTGCAGTTTGGGCACCAGTACTGAAGATGGTCGCTACCAGCATCTTCAATGGATCTTAAAATTACATCATACCATTATTGACAGCTGCCAATCTTAATCATATAAGATGATCGAGTAGTAATACCAACCTTGATGCCAGCACTGACAAGGAAATCAACCAGGACAGACTTCATCTTAGTTTGTCCAGACTTGAAATCATCTCCAGCAAGGAAGGTCTTGTGTCTTTCAGCCAGCTCAATCAATCCAGGAACATTGGTGTTCTGGGGCGAACCATTTATGTAGGAGCACTAGGTAAACAGAAGATAGGAAAATGAGATGGAGAAACTACATACTACTTATCATTCAACTACTGGGCCTCAATAGTTGGTAAAACACTAAAAGAATTCTAGAATTCTATTGAAAACTTGCAATTCAGCTGATGAACATTTCAAGATGAGACAGGGAATTCTAGTGACGTCAAGTGAAACCCAGCATGAATACTCACCCCTTCCAAAATGGTAGCCACAGCAAAGATAGTAGAAGGAGAGACCTCACTTTCATTTCTAGCAATTGATGCAAGAAGTTCATCAGCTGTTTCATTAAGACCTGGTCTAACATCACAGAAGCGCTCAGTGTTGGCAGTCCATAGGACAATGACTTTGTCTAACTTATTTGTTTCTTTAAAGTCCCRGATGTCAGCTCTGATTTGCTCCATCATGCTTTGTTTTGTTCCAGTTAGAACATTATCAGCTCTTTCAGCTTGATTCGCGGCAATAAAATCAGGGCAATAGATCGAAGGGCGTGGCTTCATGTCAGCCAGGAATGGGCGCAGCTGTTTCTGGAGATTCCAGTCTAAGACTTGGGCTCTTTCCATTGCATCAGCAAGGTTCATTGATGAAATATCCCATCCATCAAAAACTATATCATTAGGATTAACCATGGGGAGAAGATCTTTAAATGGAACATGTACATCTCCATCTGTTCCTGTGCCAATACACACAGTAGATGCTTGCGTCATGGATCCAACATAGTTTGGTTTCTGTATGGCAAAATAAACAATGAAAATGTTTTAATTGACATTTAGTTACTACAATAAAATAAAATCTTCAAATTTTAATGATACCCTGAAACAACCTCTGGCCTAACCAAAGTCAGGGCATGGCTAACTCACAGATCAAACCCTGAAACAACCTGTGGGCTTATCTAAGTCAGGGCATGGCTAATTCAAAGATTGAACCCTGAAACAACCATTGGATTACTGCCAATCCAAAGCATATGGTAGATGGGGCAGGAGCAATTAGTTATTTCTGATTGACCACGGATGTGCCTTACCTTTAAACCTTCTTTGGTATGCCATGAAATATTCTTCTGGTTAGCAACAACTGCAGCTGTGAGTGTACATCCATTGTTGCCACCCCAACCAACTAACATGCAACCAAGCTTGGGAACTTTACGTTTCGTTTGAAAGGTATATAATGTTTCTTTGGGCACGACAGTGAAGGAGTTATTCTCACTATCTTTCTTTACTTCAGTGGTATCGTAGATATACTTGCTTTCAATGTACTCTTCAGTATAAGTGACATTTGGGCTGGTGACAATCAGCTTGGCCATTGTTGTTCTTTGAAAATATAAGGTATTATATATTGTTTTCTTTTCTTCTAGTAAACAATTAGGCAAAAAAGATCATAAAGATCATAATTATATTCGAAAATTAGAAAGCAACCGTGTGACAATTTTAAAGTTTATTGTAAAGATGTAACTGCGGTTTTTATTTCTGCAAACTCAGTAATTTCAATGGCTCGTTGTGAAATTGGTTTTTCACTGCCGCCAGTCAAGAACAAAAAAGGCACCAACTGATTATTTTTGATTGACGCATTTGCAAAATATTAAAAACTGCAGTAAAGATAATTGCCTATTTAAGTAAATTTAGTCATTGATTTAAACATAGCAATATTTACACAATAACTAGTTTATCGTAATTAGATATAGAGTATTTTCCCCTCAATCTTTAGTTTTTATATTTCAATTTTTTCTTTTTTTTTATCCATTTAGCTTTTTACTATTTTTTTAGTGTAACAGGTGAAGAGCCACCTATAGTGGATACACTGATATTAAATCATTATTATTTATTAGCTTTTTAAGCAGCATATATAGTTCTTGAATTAAGTTTGTAGAATTGTGGGAACAGAAAAATAAGAAATACAAGGGTCTTCTTTTATTTCTTGTAGAGTGTTGCAACACATTCTCAAAAAGTCGAATGGCAAAAATCATAATCAAATGTTCAAAAGACTAAATCATAAGCACTCGATTTTCCACAGACAGAATACTGTGCAATTCAGAGATTCGCTGTAAAACTTAACTTTAAAAGACGCCAAAAGAATATTAAAGCTTTATGATGGTAGTATGGGGCAACCTCTGCGAAACTGAGGGTAAAAAAAATGACAGGCGAGGTAAAATAAGATTATCCAACCCGTTCAAAAGAATCATAGCAATAAGACAACATTACCAAAGTTTCTTTACCGATGGATATCTTTTGCTTTTTCCCCTTCTTCTTCAATCCGCGATCTGTGGTTGACTTGGGAGTATCGATCGGCCGTTTTAGATCAGACGCAAATGTCTTAGGCAATAAATAAACCTAGAGTAGTTCGAGGTCACAGTCCAACAACACACTGGCCGATCAATGGATCGTGGACAATATATTCGTTGCTCTTCGATTGGTTAAGAAATATGGTGTGACTGTTCACAGCCGCTTCCCACCCTTACTATAACCTGAACCGTATCTGACTATACGTTTATTTTTAGTAAGTCAGATTAGTGTCACTTACAAAGCCTCTACGTTTAATAAGAAACGGAAAATCAAGCCGATAAAAATTTTTCAGGCAAAAATATATGAGAGAAAAGCCAAAATTCACCAGCCAAAGCTTTCGATATGGCGCTACAGGAAGCCCAAGCTTGGTTTTAGTTACTCTACAGTTAATTTTTCCTATGGAGGACATTTGTTTAAAACCTAATTAAGGCATCTCTAGATGCCTTAAATAGGTCATAAAAAACAATTGCAGGAGCTATATTTTTCCCTTTAATTTTCTCGATATTCAGAAAACCGACTTGGGTTCCCTGTGTTATGACGATGCTCTCCCTACGGAACCGTTTTCATCGTATTTTACAAAAAGATCTACAGTTGGAAGAATCCCAAATTTGCCTTTTTTTCTGAAACGTCCATTTGAGCGCTCCAAAAGCCCCTTTGGTATTAAAGCGAGTGCTCACTCAGAAATCTAGTTGCCATCATATCGTCACTCTCAGATCAGTTTTCGTGTGACTGTGAAAAATTCGGTGCTTAGTGCAGTTTTCGTATGACTGTGAAAAGTTCACGGCACGAACACGGTCGTGACACAGCAAATGATACGCCAGACAAATCATATTGCACGAGAATTTACTCTCCATCCAATCAAATACTAGTACCCGGAACACGGCATAACACGGCGCGGACACGGTCACGCCAATATCATGGCACTTTTAGACCAATCATATTGCGCGTGAAAAAAATCAGCCAATTAAAATTCTAGAAAGTATGCGAAAACTGCACTATGATAGGAGATCGTGCGATGTGATTGGTGTGGCGTGTGCCTTATAGTGTGACATACGTGCCGTGAGCTTTTTTCCCCCACCAAAATCTCCAAAATTAAAAGTCAAGTTATAGTTTCAGCTTTCTCGAAAATAATAAAATAATGTATTCCACAAACATATTGGGTCTTTATTGGTAAACTGAATACATATATCTTGTTTTTGACATGCACGAGCGAGAGACATTTTACCGCGCGTCACTTCATAGCCTGCAGGTATTGTCGAAATATAAGCATTTTCTATATAATTTGAATATAATAGTGTTTTTACTTCGCCAATGCCGATTTCCATACAACTAATACAAATAATACAATTTTGTTTCACGGGCAAGTAAAATCACTCTAATTATCTTTCCAAAATGTTGGCAAAGCGGGAAACTAAACTGTGGTGTGTGATTCACCTCTCCTGAAATGTGCGCGACTCCTAAATGCCGCATGATTGATTCAATTTCGTGGGAGCTGGGGGAGAAACACTTACCTAACAGCCAGCAACACTGCGGTTCGAAACAAAACTTGGAAATTATTTCAAAAAGCTAATGCTGACCCACCCTGAAAACCGACGGAAGTTGCTATTCTGGAGCTCCTTTATGCGAAAATGTCTTTTGCACTCAGAATTACCTCGTGATATATAAATTTCTTGGCAAATTTGTAATTTTAAAACGAGCCACACATATGGATAGCCGGCTACAATTGTCTTGGTTCGTGAGACACCAGACGGTATATTTGCCTTACAATGAACGAAATTTATTTTATATCATACTCTGATGTCATACTAGAGAATTTACGTGGTTATGGAATATTACTAGCACGAGGGAAGCATGCTCGTCTCTTGACATGAATGCATGGAAAGCTAGAATCTCATGCACTTGCGTGACGTTTTACTTGGTACTAGAAATAGTTTTCCTGACAAAAATAAATAAAGTCAAGACCTAACGGGAAATTTCTAAACCAACAGTTGTTTAATAGGGGCAGATCGAAGGGCTGGAGGATTCGCAGTAAACGCATAGGTAGTCTAGTAATTCTCTGATATCATACTCTGATGTCACGGACTGTGAATTTAGTCAAACTCAGTTGAATAGTTGACGTACGTGTACTTGGAACTACATGAATAATTTTCTTTATATTAAAAAATAAGTAGGAAATTAAGACAAGACCCAAGGAGAAATTTCTAACAGTCGTTAGGGAAGGTAGGTTTTTTTAACTGGGTGCCGGGGGGTGGGGCGAGGATGAATTTAGAGAGCGCGCGGTCATCGCCGAAATAAGAAGAGCTTTCTACAATACTCTGATGTCACGGACTGTGAATTTAGTCAAACTCAGTTGAATAGTTGACGTTACCTGCATTAGACATTTTTTCAGTGCGAATAAGCACTCTACTAGATCGAAAACTTACGTCATTATGGAATATTACTAACACAAGGTATAGCGCATGCACGACGTACGTGTACTTGGAACTACATGAATAATTTTCCAAGGGCGGATCCAGGGTTTTTTTGAAGGGGGGTCTCAGGGGTAAATTTTGTGGGCAAAGGAATCCCAGTCGCATTTTTACCACAAGAAGCCCATTTGACCTCAGGAATGACAGGGGGGTCGCGACCCCTCCGACCCTCCCCTTGGATCCGCCCTTGTTTTCTTTATATTAAAAAATAAGTAGGAAATTAAGACAAGACCTAAGGAGAAATTTCTAACAGTCGTTAGGGAAGGTACGTTTTTTAACTGGGTGCCGGGGGGGGCCGAGGATGAATTTAGAGAGCGCGCGGTCATTGCCGAAATAAGAAGAGCTTTCTACAAATTTCTTTACTTATATTATTCTGCACATTAAAGCTTCGAGTTTAGCTTCTGGTTTGACTTGAGATAAGGTATTCTTCGAGTTATGAATTGAGTTACGGAAATAGCGCGTAACTCGAAAAATATGGTTCAATCTGTTGGGTTCGAGTTACGTAACTTGAGTTATTTCAGGTGTCAAAGTGGGCGTGGTCCCCATAATATGGGTGTGTCCAAGCGCGTAACTCGAAATTTTGTGTCACTCGAAAATCGTAACTCGAAAATCGTAACTCGAGTTTTTCCTTCCCTGGTTTGACTGAGTTTGATATCAATAAAGCCGTGGAACGCAAATAAACCAGTGTTGTTGTGATTTTTTCTCAAGATTCCATCGGGATTGGTATGTCTTTTTGTTCTTTAGTATTTTTTCAAAGGCGTTTGAATATTACTTATTATCATAAATGATTTTACGTTTTTCCCGAAAATCAGGGAAAAAAAGCAGCAATTCTTTGTATATTTAAAGTGACTCTCAATTCCCATTTTCTCTGCCTAAAGAATCGCCAACGATCGAGGGACACTGCTTGCAGGGAACTCACTGTTTGTTTACGTCGAGAATTTTAAAAGAATAACGATCGGAATTTTTAGATAACGCCCAGATTTAAAAAATTGTTCAAATTTTTGAAATCTATCCAAACAAACACACGCCATTGCATTCGAAGAAGGTAAAATTTGAATACGGGAAAGTCCCGTATATTCGAAAGTGAAACCAGCCTGCAGCCAACACTCAACTCGAAGACCTATGTTCTAAGCTGAAGATTTCTATACTTTATCTTCGATTTTTTCTGAACAAGAAATATTCTAATAGTTGGACTTCAGCTGGGGTAAGTATACTGACCGGCTGAGGGTTAAATCAAAATATTCTAGCTAGATATACGGCTTGAGAACACTCTTATCTCTCAAATTTGCAATTCAATGACCGCGCTTCTTTCGCTTGAAGAAGTGAGAATCGCTTTCAGTTAGTATTTTTATCAGTTTCTATGCTATATTTAATGCCCAAACTATACTCGTGACATGATAAATAAAGAGCTTTCTCTTTTTTTTTTCGCGGGCGCCTTTGTTTTTCCACATAATTTCCCTATGGTAGCTAATGTCGCTCTTTTGTTTATACAGCTATTTCAAAGAGGTTGAATACTGAATACTGCATACTGAATAGTGTATTTCAAGATCGTAGTGCAATGTGACCGTTTAAAGTAGGATTGATAATAATAATTTATTTTATTTTTAATGCGATTCCCGATCTGAAACAATATACTCACTACATGTAGATAGTTATGCACTAGTCAATTGAAACCCCCGCCCCCCGACCCCCGCGGCTAGCGGGGCACTGAACGGCGACGTGACGCGTTTTTGATGTGCTTTTAAGAGCATGATTGCACCGGGGGTTAGGGGATTTAACGAATGGTTTTCACAGCGGGGAATCGAGCGGCGAATTTAACGCTCGTTTGAATATGTAAGGGCCTGGAAACAAGAGGTCGGCCATCTTGAAAAATACCAAAAAGGTGTTGTGATTCCAACTGCACAGGCAGCCCGTTGCCTAGTACAGAGCAGTATGTTCTACACAAAACACATGCTCAAACAAACTTATAGCAGTTTCTACCTATACACTTTTACACTGAACTCCACTGATAAGAACCTTTCTTAAAATTGTAGCCTTAATAGGTTCTTATGTGAAGGGGTCTTAAAGGAAGAATTTTAGCCTAACAAGTTCTTTAAAAAAACCCAGGTTCTTATACGCGGGTTTTGTTCAGTAGTTTCGGTCAGTTCGAATGTAGAATCAGATCAAGATTAATCTATTAAAACTGCTGCTTCACAATATTTACAAGCATTCTTCATTTTCAATTTAATACCATTAAATTCCCAGCTGCCTAGACCTAAATCTAAACGTTTTCGCACGATTTGAGGTTCAGAGCCCATGAAAATATTGAGCATTGAATATTTAGTGCATGGAGCACACAACAATTGGCTCTGTGTAGCACAAGAATTTGGAGTTGGCATGAAATGTGTTTCTTGTTGACTACTAAACCAAAATAACGGGGCCACAAAAGCGGGGGTTTTAACAGTGAATGTGCCCCCGACTACCGGGGAAAATGTCTGATTTTAACACCACTCAAATGTTAAATTCCCCGGTATTTCGCGGGGGTCGGGGGGGTGGGGGTTTCAATTGACTAGTGCATTAATTGCTGTATATTTACTTTTTATTTCAAATTAACGAGACCCACTATAACCTTTTGGTCTTGGGATGCTATTCAGTATTCAACCTTTTTTGAAATAGCTTTATACTCTTACAAGGAAGTATATATACAAGAGTAAGAGTATATATATATATATATATGCATAAGAGCGACATTAGATACCATAGGGGAATTATATAGCAAAACACATGAAATGAAATGTTCTAGTGCATTCTTTATCGTTTTTTAATTAATCAATTAATTATTCTATAGATATTTATTGATTATTGATAATTGATTATTTAATCTTTCCGATTTTTATTTTCACCATTTACTTTAAGTAAACTGGGCTCCCTGTGATAATACACAGAGGCAGTGGAACTGGGGGGGCCGGGGGGCACGTGCTTCCCCACGAAATTTTTTGGGGGTGCATGGCCACACTGTTATTAAGTTATTGTTGTGATTTTCTACAGTGCCCCCAAAATATTTTTTTGCAGTGTCCCCCCAAAGATTTTCAGCTTCTGCCGCCCCAAAATACAAAGCAAAAGCAACCACTCTGATCTTTTATAAGAGATTAGTCATTATTTAAAGGGGGTGGGGGCTGGTGAAAATGTGGGGAGGACCAAACATTTTTGTGCACTAAAAAAGGGGGACCAAAAAAAATTGTGTAATAGATACTTGTAACCTTTTTTGTTAGACACTTGTCCATTTTTATCATTATCATTATTATTGGGAGGGGAACAGAATCACTAAAATTTGAGTTCTATATAAAAGGGGAGGGGAAAAAATTGAGCATCACATTTCTCATTTCCACCAGCCCCCCGCCCCACCCTCCCACCTCCCTGTAAAATAATGACTGGTCCCTAAGTTCATATCAGTCATATTGATACTTTATGCCCTTTATACCCATAAATCAGATATAAATATTGTCACAGATTAAAAATGCCCTGATCCCAATATGACTGAAAACCCTACATGGGTCTGAGTCATCACCCTCTGATTTACATCACTCCAGCTATAAAATAATGTATTGATTTGGCAAAGTGAGACAAACACCA